ATCCCTAAACCCTAAACCCTAATCCCTGATCCCTGAACCCTAAACCCTAATCCCTAAACCCTAGTCCCTAAACCCTAATCCCTGATCCCTGAACCCTAAACCCTAATCCCTAATCCCTAAACCCATAACCCTAATCCCTGATCCCTAATCCCTAAACCCTAATCCCTTAACCCTAAACCCAAGGATCTTCTCGCATTGCTGGAAGCTTGGCCATTGCACTGCCTTGCTGCGGAGGGGAATCTCCGGCTCGAAAGGGGTCTTTGGCACCGGCTTTCCTCAGAGCTTACGTAGGGGATTATATAGGGCTATATAGGGATATCTAGGGTTATATAGGGATATAAAGAGATTATACAGGGTTTAGATTGGGGTTTAGGGGTTTGGGGTCTTGGGTTATACACATAAGGTCATACAGGGGTATAGGGGTATGTGTGCAGGCATAGAGGTTATATAGGCTTATATGGGGGTACAAGGGGTATGTAAGGGTATATAGCGACCATGGAGGGTCATATTACAGGGTGGTGTAGGCGTATATAGAGGTATGTAGGGATGTATATAGGGGTTACATAAGGATTGCACAGGGAGATGTACATTTGTATAGGGAAATGACTGTAAGATCAGGTGGAAAAACCTGGAAACTGGGGCTACAGGGGGGTGTATAGGGATTCAGTAGGCCATGCAACAAAGGAGCCAACAAGTGATGGATGCACGAAGCTGATGGCCTAAGTTTTCCGAAGCCAAGAAATTTGAATTGGCTTTGGGCTGCGACTTACCAACTACGCCTTGTGGTCTGAAAGCATCTGGTCTGAAAGCATCTGCAGCGCTAAAGCTGTGCCACTGCAGTCAAGCCACAAACTGAATCACAGGGAAGCCGCCAGCAGTGTGAGCCAACGGTTCTGCACAGTCTCTGCATTTCCTTGCAATGCATCAATGGACGATGCAATGCAAATTCAAACTGTTTGACTATTCTTGCCATTATTTCCCTTACTACTACCATTACCACTATTGCTTGTATTCCTACTAAGAATATTATTACTCTTATGGATATCCTTCGGGTCCCAAGCTTGAACCCCGAAAACGCCAAGGTCCAGGCCCTCCATGGGGCCATGTCATCCACTCTTCTGCCAGGACCTCCATGGAAGATCCCGTGCAGAGGAGATACTTGCCCAGCCGCTCCAGGCTTTCGATGTCCTTCAGCAAGCGCCCGAACACGCCCAATAGTGGTAGCGGCCCCACCGTAAATCCCTGAAGAACCTGCAGTTTTGCATGATCTATTCCATTTGAGCTATAGACTAGACTCCTTGTATCCCCCTGAATTCACCTCTATTTATAATAGTCCCCGATAGAATCCCCTACATATCCCCCTTTCAGGAGTTTACACTTTTGCTCATCTGATTCTCCAGCCCCGGCTCCTTGGCTATGCGATCCTGCGGCGAGAGGCGGCCGCGGGGAAGTCCACGAGAGGACTCGACGTTCCAGCCCAGGTGCACCTGGTGTTTGGGGTTAGTGCCTTGAGCCCTGGCCCACTTGCAATAATTCTGATAATCATACTTAGAGTAATAATAGGAATAGTAGGAGCTATAGTAACTCCAGTTGTATTAATTTGAGGTGCGTCCAGCATTGCAATCTTGGGTCCGGTAGCACCTCCATGTCCAGAGTTCGGATTTTGTCCATCTCAGACGGGTTGGCCAGCAGCCACTCCAAGATCTCCCACTCTGAGCCTTGCCCGAACTTCAGATCTTAGTGTTACTAATACTGGTATTACTAGAACTAGTATTGCTATTACTACTATTACTACTATTATTACTATTATTACTATTATTTCTATTATTACTATTAGAAAGATTTTCTATTATTACTATTACTACGTTTATTACTACTATAATTACTATCATTACCGTTATTACTTTTGTTTCCATTATTACTATCCTTACTAGTACTAGACAAGCTCTTTCGCAAGATTCCGTATTCGGGTGGCAGAGTACAAGGATTGCGACGGGGCATAGACTGCAATACCTACAGTCCCCCTTAAGTAGATAGAATCTGGCTTTGGGTATATTATGGGGTTTGGGGTTTGAGGTTTCAAGATGGCTTTGGGTATATCATAGGGTTTAGGGTTTGGGGTTAGAATATGGCTTTGGGTATATCATAGGGTTTAAGGATAGTATATGGCTTTGGGTATATTAGAATAAAATCCTCATCTACCCCATATTCTATCTACTTCAGGGGGGACTATAACCTCCCACTCCGCCTTATTGCTTCGTTGAGGGGCCGCGGCATGGCTCATCAGATCATGTCTCGCAGGCTGTTATGACAATGGTCATGGCCCATACTGGCCCTCTTTGGCTATTATTACTAACTATTTTTGCTATTCTTACTATTCTTACTATGACAATTACTATTACTATTATAACTACTATTATCATTGTAATATTTTCATTTTTACGCAAGTACAACCCCGACAACATCAGACCAAGCACCTTCCACATCGATCTTCAGGTGCACGGAGAGGGGATACCGATCTTTCAAGTGCAGTTCGAGTGGTTCCTTGACATTCACGGGGCATGTGCTAGCTATGAAGTTGAGCTGGAGCAAGCCCTATCACTCAGCCAGTGCTGATTGCAGGTGAGGCTCATAATTGCGGCCTGAATGTTGCTTTTTCTCAGGACCGAGACATATCCGATAAGCCTGATAAGGCATCTCATAACCTGGCCATGAATTGGGGACACTACATGTCTTGGTGGGTTGCTGTTCATGTGGAAGCTTCTGGAGCTAACACTTATACATCAACTTGGGCCGCGGGGCAATGGCCGCCAACCCCTTGGCAGGAACCGGTGCCGTTTGGGGCTGTGCCCTGAAGCGGTGGTGAGCCCTGCACACGGAAAAGGAGGCTCTCAGCTTGCTGTGCCCTTCCAAGATGCCAGGCCTTCGGATTTTGAAAGCAGTCGTAAAGCCGAGGAGACACCTGATACACTGCACCGTAAAGCGTCAACTTCCTAAAGGAAGACGACCCTGCCTTGTAGACGTTGCTGACCTTGCTGAAACGTGAAGTGACTGCAGCTGCTATCCCTCCACCCCGCTTTCCAGGGAATCCCTATTAACGCCATACAGCATGAGCACACTAAGTGTTGATGAAACCTCTTGCCCTAGGTCCAAAGAGGCAAGTGATCCCCATACCCTTACTGCACTTCCCTGCCAACCCAGCAACAGCCCTTGCTTTGGAACCCAAGGAGCCGGTTATGTAGGGATTATGGGGTATATATTGGGGTTATATAGGGTTTAGGGTTTAGGGTTTAGGGCTATATTGGGAAAATGGAAAAGAAAATGGAACCTCCTACAAGGGGTTATATAGCGATTATAAGTTAACCTCGTCCTGTCTGGAACAAGCCACCAGCTCGCTCCACAAGTCTCTCTCTTCGATGCCATAGGACAAGCCGATCACCTTCCCAGAAGGCCGATAATAGTAAAAATAACAATAGAAATAATACGAATAATACTAATAATGGTAGTAATAATAATAGCAATACAAAAGTAATAGCAATAATAATGGCGATACGCCAAAGTGTGCGAAAGAATTTCCCGGTGAATGCATGCAGCGAGCACTTCTGGCCTTCCCATCCGGCTGCTGGTTTCCAAAGCCGCCTGTCAGCGCACGGCGGCACCACGTCATGTCCTGAAGCCATCGCACCATGAGGTTGCGACTTTCTTGCAGTAGACGCTTTGCAGCCGAAGCGCTCCAAACAAGTGCCAGCCATCACCTGGCAGCTCCCATAATGGAGAATCAAATGGAAAATTGAACAGAAACTGAAATGGAAGCTACTATGCAGGGATATGGTTTGGGGATAATGGAGCATCAAACGGAAAATGGAAACTGAAATGGAAGCTGCGGGGTGTACGGTAACGGGAGGAAAACTGACATCAAAGTTACTAGTTAGGGCTTAGGGATAATGGAGTATCAGATGAGAAATGGAACGGAAACTGAAATGGAAGATGCTATTTAGGTTGTAGGGTCTAGGGATAACGGAGAACCACATGGAAAATGGAGCGGAAACTGTACGGGAAGCTAGTACAAAGTGCTTAGGGATCATTAAAAATCAATGGAAAATCAAGTGGAAACTAGGCGTTAGATTGGCAATGCCAATAAGAATGGTAATGGCAATATGTCAGTCACCAAGGTCCAATGATCAATTGTTTGAGACAAGGAACAGAGAGCTTCATCAACCACCCCTATGGCCGCGGCTGCAGCGCGCTCCCCAAGGATAATGCTCGAATCGGTTTTTGTCCTCATCTGCTGATGGCATGTGAGGAAGCAACACTGGAGCATCCTACATGGAGGTTTCCAATATAGACCCCAATATACTCTAATCTTTATCTTAGGTCCCCAACTTTTGGAAACCCCCAACCCTATAAACCTCCAAATAACCCCAGGTTCAATGTAGTTTCCGGTTCCTTTCCATTTTCACAATCAAGATTCCATACATAATTTCATGGACATGGGTTTTTTATTAGGGGCTATAGTAGGGACTATACTGACCTACAAAAGGGAAGCCCATGTCCACTGTTAAGGGTCCCTTCATAAGGCTAATATTAACAGTGGCTCATATGACCCTTTGTAAGCCCTGTAACCCTGGTCCTGTAGGGGTAGTTCGCCGGACGCGGAAGGCAGGGCCTTAAGCTGGATTGCTTAGGTTTAGGGTTTAGGATTTAGGATTCAGGGTGTGGGGCTCAGGGTTTAGGGCCTTGGGCATTTATTAAAGGTTCCTTGTGGTCTATTCCCTAATGCGAGGATTATAGCCAAACCCTGAACTCCAAACTCGAAACCCCTAAATCCTAAACTCCAAACCCTAAACCCCTAAACACTAAACTCCAAACCCTACACCCTACGAGCCCACCCTACACCCCCAAACCCTAACTCCAAACCCTAAACCCCAAACCCTCGTAGGGTGTAGGGTTTAGGGTTTGGAGTTTAGGCTTTTGGGGTTTAGGGGTTTGGAGTTTAGGGTTTAGGGCTTAGGACCCCTAATAAATGCCCAAAACCCTAAACCCCTAAACCCTGAACCCCTAAAACCCAAAACCCAAAACCCTAAACCATCCTTTTGATGCCCAGGCCTTCCAGGCCGAGAACTTGCATCTTTGCGGCTTGCCTGGTACACGAGTGAAAGGGACTAAAAGATATAACCACTACATATAGGGAGGGTTATATGGGGAATTGTATAGGGGAGTATTATATTGGAGTTACGGGGGGATACCAGGAGTTTAGACTATAGCTCATATAACCCTACATCGTAGTTTTCATTTCATTGTCCATTTTCTTGTCCATTTCATTCTCCTTTGTTGAGGTAAGATGTCCCCATCTAGTGCCCTATGAAAAATCTTTCAAAAGAGCCAGTAACTCACTGCACGGCAGGAACAAACCAGAGCACGTTAGCGGAAAGTGGGCTTCTTGACTTCAGCATGCTGGCCGCCCAACTTCTAATAACTCTAAACTTGAGATGGAAACTACTATAGTATATTGGGGTTATATAGGGATAATGGAAAAGAAAATGGAAACTACTACAGTATATTGAGGTTATATAGGGATAATGGAAAAGAAAATGGAAACTACTATCTATGCTCTCCCCGCAAAAATGGGGCAAGAAGCAGACGTGCGAACAGTTCAACTCCATGGGTTCTTGAGACTACCTCCACCGTCTGTGGGAACTGAAGCAAGCAGTCTACCTGTGACTGCTGCTGCAAAACCCGTTGCCAGATTGGGACTGCCCTTTCTGACCTCCGCATGGCACTGCATAACTTGGTTTTACTTCGAAGCCTCGCCTTGCAGCCGTCCAGACTGGGCCAGTCCCGACCATCCAAGCGCTGTTGCAGATTTGGCAGAGCTGGCTCAAAGGAAGTGGGAACTCGCTCCACGGATTCCACGGGCAGCGAGAGCTTCGGAAGGGCCTCCCGATACAGCGAAGGGGTGCGAATCACACAGGGCAAGTGTACTCGCTTTTCAAGGATAACTCACCGCCTCTGGGGGAAGATCACGAAGCAAGCCAGCTGTAGGAGCTGAGCGAAGCCTGGCTACACCGCGAATCAGCAAGACTCGAGGGACTCGATATCATGGAGCACTCATGAAGAATATTCGGTGGCCTGCCTGACACTGTCACTGTGCAGCGGAGGTGGTAGTCTCGCCTGCAAGGGGATAAGCTCGTCTGAGTCACCTGCCCAGCACCAGTGGACGATGTTCGAATCATTCAGGCTTTGTTGGGAGCCTCCCGCATCACGACGGTCACCGCGACCAGGCCTCGCAAAGCTTCACAAAGCTGGGAGGCCTTACACTGCATAGCAACCAGGCCAAAGGCCGAAAGGCAATGAGGAGCCCTATGCCACCTCGATCACTGCAAGGCCAACCCAAAGAATGCACTCAGGATGCTTTTGTTTTGCCGACCTGTCATTTCCTGAGGGAGGAACAGCCGATCACAATGGCAAGCTGCTTGGGATGCCTGTCCCAATGCTGCGCTCTGCAAGATGAAGGAACATGGCCACATTGGCCCACTGAAAGCAAAACGTGTCAGACAGACCAGTCTCGCCAACTCCTGCAACAAGAGTCGGGGCGCAGCCCAGCTGTGCTGGATTATGGATACGGTGGGTGCCTAGATGTGATTCAGCTAAATAGGCCTGTGCATAATCCAACACCCACGGTTCAAGCAGCACAAAGCTGTCTGATTGAAGCTTGCAAGACAGGACCGTCCTTCCCGAACCCATGCTGCTTGCGAAAGTCAACCGGCGCGATGGCGATGTGGCATATTAGATCATATTAGCTTAGATTTCCGTGCTCGGGTTGTTTTGCAAAGCAATACACCGCTTGTACCCTAAGATACGCATGCGTAAGTTGTGAGGGCTTGTCTCTGTGCTTGATGCTCAACCGCTTCGAGGTGAATCCGGGAATCCCATGAGCCATCACAGTTTCCCAAACGAGCAACTGAAGGGTTCTCTAAAGGGAGGCTGCCTGCGTGTCTGTCTTCAGGAGACCCGTCTCTGAAAGCACCTGGCTGCCAGGCCAGGAAGCACGCAAAATCCGGCTCAGAGCAGGAAGCGGGGAGCCCAAGACAAGTCGGCCCAGCCAAATCTCTCATGACCTCATTGCACTGTTGTTCATGGCCCGGAGCCAACTAACCACGCTTCATGCTCCAAAGGCTTGGTCCAGCACCAGCGGTCTCACCGTCCACAGCGGTACAGGATTACACCTGGCTGAACACTTGCAACAGCAAGGAGATAGCAAGGAGACTCGTGGTACAAGGGCCTGAACACGCCCTCTTTTAGATCGATCAAAGCAACGTGCTTCAGTCCAGCTTCTTGCGGAGTCAGCGATGTGGCTACCTCACCACTGAATTCCAAGTATGCGCTATGCTGACAACCATGCTCAGGGCAGGTGCTCATATTACTAGAAATATTACTGTTATCATTATTATATATCTTATAGTATACTATTATAGTATACTATAATATATTATAGCATACTATGGTATATTATAGTATACTAGAATATTTCATAGTATATTCTCTACCCTGAGACAGGAGCTGAAGAACCAGGCTGCATTACGTAGAACTCCCCACGCAGGGACTCCTGCCAGTCTTCGGTGTCAGGAAATATTAGGGATATATTAGTTTAGGGTTTAGGGTTTAGGGTTTAGGGGTGATATATTAGGGGTTACATATTAGGGGCTATATATTAGGGGTTTTATATTAGGGGTTATATATTAGGGGTCATATATTAGGGGTTCTATATTAGGGGTTCTATATTAGGGGTTCTATATTAGGGGTTATATATATTAGGGGTTATATATTAGGGGTTATATATTAGGGGTTCTATATT